CCAATCTGTTGGCCATTGTTTTGTTCTCCATATCTGTTGACATATGTTTTTTAAGTATTTGATATAAGTATTAAATATAATTATTAAATATAATTATAATTATAATTATTATAAATATTAAATATAAGCATTTGAAGGGGAGTCATATTGACGATGGAGCAAGCTTGTTTTCTTCTGCTCCAGAGAATAGCACCTGGAGCAATGGATTCAAGCTTCAGGAAAAGAGATTCCACCTAAACATTAGGAGGAACTTCCTGACAGTAAGGGCTGTTCCAAAGTGAACACACTCCCTTGGAAGATGGCAGAGTCTCTCCTTTGGAAGTCTTTAAACAGAGGCTCAATGGCCCTTTGCTGGAGTACTTTGATATTGTGTTCCTGCATGGCCGACTGGGGTTGGACTGGATGACCCTTGGGGGTCCCTTCCAATATGAATCTATGACATCCCTTCAGATATTTAAAGATGGCTGTCATTTCACTTCTCAGTCAAAAGTGAAATATATAAATAAATTATATTAAACAAAAGCGAAATATATAAATACAATAAAATTAAAAACACTTTTAAAAGCATTGCCATTAAAAATAAAACTAACAAGCTGTACAACGCATGGCAATTAAAGCGGGGCCAAAGCGCATTAATTCTGCAGTACGGACGCAGCCCGCCTCAACAGCCTCCCCAGCAGAATCACAGACACATTTCCTTTCCTTTCCTGCGCCTTTAAAAACGAGGCGGTTGCTAGGAAACGCTTCCGGCAGCCATTTTAGACAGGAAGGAACCCCGCTTCGGTGAGAGGAGTGTCTGGTCCCGAGACCGGGCTCTCGAGGCACCCACAAGGGAGGAGGGGGCGGGGTTATGCAGATTTGGCTCAGGCTCCTCCAATGGGGCGTGAGCGGGTGGGCGGGGCTCGGTGGGAGAGATATATATGGCAGCCAACAGAGCGAGGAAGTTCTTGAGCAGAGTGACAGCTGTCCGGGTTTCGTCGTTTTTGGCCTATAGATCCGGTAAGCGCAGGAAGCCTATCCGTAGAGTAGCCTTCTTGGCCATGTGGCAAAGTACTGCAACATCCAGAATCCCCCAAACAGTGATGCCTTTATGGGGCCAACCAAAGTGCATAAAATATAACTCTCTCTCTCTCTCTCTCTTTTATTTTATGCACTTTGGTTGGCCTCATAAAGGCATCATCACTGTTGGGGGATTCTGGATTCTGCAGTACTGTACTTTGGTAAGATCAGAGTAGGGAAGAGCCAGCGTCGTATAGTGGTTTCAGCGATGCAACATGTATTTTATATATTGTGGGTGGCTCTATAAAGCACCACTGTTTTGTGGATTTTGGATGTTGCAGTACTTGGGTAAGATCAGGGTAGGCAAGAGCAGAGTAATGGTTTGAGTGTTGGACTATGACTCTAGAGACCAGGGTTCGAATCCCGGCTCAGCCATGGAATCCCACTGGATGAATTTGGGTGAGTCACACTTTCTCAGCCACAGAGGATGAGCAGGGGCAAACCCATTCTGAAGAAACTTCCTAAGTAAACTTCCTGAAGTCTTGAAGGGACACAACAGCAACAACAAGATTAGGATATTTTCCCTCCCTGTGCAATATTTTTTCCTGTCTTTTGGTTGGCCACATAAAGACATCACTGTTTTGTGGATTCTGGATCTTATAGTACTTTGGGGGGGGATCAGGGTATCATGCAACATGTATTTTCTGAATTTTTCTGAATTTGGTTGGCCCCATAAAGGCATCACTGCTTTGTGGGTTTTGGGTGTTATAGTACTCTGATAATATCAGGGTCTTTCCTCTCCCACTAGTTAGCTTGCAACATGTATTTTTTGCATTTAGGTTGGCCCTGTAAAGGCATCACTGCTTTGTGGATTCTGGATCTTATAGTACTTTGAGAGGATCAGGGTCTTTACACTTTCACTAGTTGGCTTGCAATATGTATTTTCTGCATTTGGGTTGGCTCCATAAAAGCACCACTCCTTTGTGGATGCTGGATCTTATAGTACTTCTGGAGGATCAGAGTCTTTCCACTCTCACTAGTTAGCTTGCAATATGTATTTTTTGCATTTAGGTTGGCCCCATGAAAGCATCACTCCTTTATGGATTTTGGATGCAGTAGTAGTAATAATAGTAGTAGTAATAGTGCTTTGATAAAATGAGGATCTTTTTCCTCCCAGGGAAAGTCAGTGTGGCTTATTAGGCAGAGGAGGATGGGATTTCTTCCCTTCTGGCTGAGATCTTTGCCTCTCTTGGAGGGGTCTGGAAAGTGGGGCTGGGCTTGTGAAAGTCCCCATGGCTCCCTGGTGTGGCTGCCTGGGAAAGTGGGGCTCTGGTGGAGGAGACCTTCCTTCCTTCCTTCCTTCCTTCCTTCCTTCCTTCCTCCTCTTTGCCAGCCTTTGCTTTGGAGGCCAGGCTTTTCCTCCTTTTCCAGGACACGTCCTCCATTTCAAGTGTCTGCCCAGGAGGAATCCCCAAATGCCCTCCCTTTGGAGCCTCACTAAGAAGCACCCATTTGTATTTATATTATTATTTTTTAGCTTTTATTTTCTGTCCGGGAGGAATCCCCAAATGTTTTCTCTTTTGACCCTCACTAAGAAGCACACATTTGTATTTATATTATTATTTTTTAGCTTTTATTTTCTGTCTAGGAGGAATTCCCAAGTGCCCTCCATTTTGTGCCTCACTAAGAAGCATGGTTTTATATTTCTATGATTGTTTTAAGCTTTTGTTTTCTTTCCAGAAGGAATCCCCAAATATTTTCTCTTTTGAGCCTCACTAAGAAGCACAAATTGATATTTAGATTATTATATTTTAGCTTTTATTTTCTGTCCAGGAGGGATTCCTAAATGTCCTCCCTTTTGAGCATCACTAGGAAGCATGCTTTTATATTTCTACGAGTGTTTTTAGCTTTTATTTTGTAATGTCTTTTGTTTTTCTTGGGTGTCCTACATTTTGGGGTGCCTTGTCCTCCTTTGTGGTTATGACATCTGGTCATCCTGGTGGCACTGGATTTGGGACCAAGAGGAAAATGACTCTTGCCTGTGCCAACTTGGGAATGAAGTTTTGCCCTTTGGGAGGAAAGGGAAAATTTAATACCAACTCTAGCTATCAGTCAACATCTCTCCTCTGACTGCTGTGGCTCAGTGGTATGTAATTTTACAATTTGTAATTTCGCGAGACATTTAGCTTTCTCTTGTCAGAGCGCTCTGGTGCCGCAGCAAACTACAGTTCCCAGGATTCCCAAGCACTGAGCCATGGCAGTCTCCGCCTGGAATATTTCTGCTGTGCGGATGCAACTTTAGTTTTGCAGCTTCAAAATAGTTTGGGAAAAGTTTCTTTTCACACTTTGGTTGTTGTTGTGTGCCTCCAGGTTATTTTAGACTTAATAATAATAATAATAATAATAATAATAATATAGTTTGTTTATATATCCCGCCTCTCCCAGCGAACATATCATAGGGTTTTCTTGGCAAGTTTCCTCTGAAGGGTTTTGCCATTGCCACCTTCTCAGGCCGAGAGAGTGTGATGTGCCCACGGTGGTTTTTTATGCTCCCAATGGCTATGGGGTTTGGGAGTAGTAATACCCCCCAAAAAAGTAGTTTGATCTCTAGGGAAAATTCCAGTTACTGGAAAAACACCAGAAGTGAGGGGGAGGGAATGAATGAGTAAAAACTTGGATGTGTTTTCATACTGTGCAAGGATGGAAAAGTAGCTCTACTTGGGACCTTTCCACCCTGAGGCAGTTGTCTTGCTGATCTTCACTCCCACCTGGTGTTTGGTATCATCATCATCATCATCCTTTATTACAGTCAACAGGCCATTAAGGTGTTCAGTTCCCTTAAGCCAGGGGTAGGCAACCTGTCCCCTTTAAGGGCTGAAGGACTTCAGCTCCCAGAATCCCAGGAGCTACTGGCCAGCATGGGACTATTGGCCAACACGGCTGAGGCTTCTGGGAGCTGAAGTCCCTCGGCCCTTAGAGGGGAAAGGTTGCCTACCCCTGCTAAGCTGAGGACACTTGTGTGTTTCTCTTTCTTTAGCATTATTCAACAGCTGGCAGCAGACAACTTTGTGACTGAAAGTTTTCTAATTTTGGTGTAAATTCTGCACTCCCTTTCAGTCCAGAAAGCTTGCACAAGGCCTTTTCTTTCTACACCCTATTGTTAATTTTTTCTCATGCTCTAACATGAGTATTAAACTTGCTAATTTCTCTATTTATTGTCCATGGCATCTAGATCAAAGTTCACAAGAGCCTCCCAATATATGCTCTCCCAGCCATGCTAGCCCTAGGAGAAACAGCACTTAACGCTACCTAGTTGGGTTCCATTTTCCATTTTTATTAGCAATACTATAGTTTTGTTGTTGTTGTTGTGTGCCTTTAAGTCATTTCTGACTTATGGCAAACCTATCCAGGGGTTTTCTTGGCAAGATTTGTTCAGAGGGGGTTTGCCATTGCCTTCCCCTGAGGCTGAGAGAGTGTGACTCACCCAGGGTCACCCAGTGGGTTTCACGGACAAAATGGGAATCTAGAGTCATTGTCAACACTCAAACCACTATGCCACATTCAGTATTTTTTAGTGTGCAGTAATTTTATCTCAAAGAACTGCATTCCTGATTTTTTTTTTGTGTAGAACAAATAACATCTGAGTGGAAAATGTGAAGGAAGCATATTTTTAAGCTGATTGTGAATCTTTGAGTTTTGTACCACTGAAGTTTCTAGATCATTTTTTCAAAAATAGACTTGTAAGTTCTCCCCCTTTGTTTTTTATAACTTACTGGTTTTCTGCTGTCAACTAGTTTTGGCTTATGACAACCCTATGAATGAGAGACCTCCAAGAGACTCTGTTATTGACTGCCTTGAGTCCCTATATTGTGAGAAAACTGGGATATATTATTGTAAAGATTATTAGCCCTGCTTAAATCTTGCAGTCTCAGCCTCGTGGTTTCCTTGACTGAGTCACACTATCTGTAATGTGGTGGTCATCTTTTCCTACTGCCTTCCATTTTGCTGAGCATTATCATCTTTTCCAGTGAGTTACATCTTCTCATGATGTCTCCAAAATATGATAGCTTCAGCTTAGCCATTTGGCTTCTATTGAGAATTCAACCTTGATTTTCACTGGGACCCATTCATTTATTTGTCTTTTGAGCAGTTGATGACATCCATAGAAATCTCTTCCTCAAAGACATTTCAGATTAGTTGATCTCCTTCCTATCAACTTTCTTCACTCTCTAGTCTTCACAGTCATACATAGAAATTGGAAATAGTATGGGATTGATGGTTCTGACTTTGGTATTTTGGTATACTGCAAACCGTACTCTTACTAAAGTTGCCAAATGTAGCTGATTGCCCCTTCAGTTCAATGCCCAGGATGCACATTCAGTTTTTCCGTAGGATTCAAATCTCCACTTGACCATGGAAGCCCATTGGATGACCTTGGACAAGTCACACTCTCTCAGCCACAGAGGAAAGCAAAAGCCAGCCTCTCCTGAACAAATTTTGCTAAGAAAACTCTGTGATAGGTTTGCTTTTGGGTTGCCATTAAGTCAGAAATGATTTGAAGGCACACAACCACAGCCCAGCGAATCCAGCCTTGCATTTGCATAATCTGTAAACAAGGATGTGTTGATTTTTTTTTTAAGAGATGAAGAACTAACCACCTTCCTTTCCAACTAAGTTTCAAAAACACAACCATTTCTGCCTTTATGGCTAATTGGCCAAAACCCATATATTTTTGTAGTGCTAAAGGAAGTGGGTGGTATATGTCTGTGTGTCTTCAAGCAGTCTGTCAAACTATAGTGACCCCACTAATTTCACAGGGTTTTCTTGGCAAGGAATACTCAGAGGTGGTTTTGTCAGTCCCTTCTTAAGAAATATAGCCTGTAGCACTTGGTATTTGTTGGTGGTCTCCTTTCCAAATACTAGCCAGGGCTGACCCTACTTAGCTTCCAAGATCAGATGGGATCTGATGCCTTTAGGTTTAGGATATTTAGGCTAGGAGGGTAGTACCCTGCAAAATGTTACCATCCTGGGACACTAGAGGTTTCATCTTAACTTGGAAGTGTAAACCTACGGCTTTAAAACCAAAATTAGGTTGCTAATGTGCAGTCTGTATTGATTTAATTTTCTACTTTTCTCCCAGAACTGGGATTCAGGTCAGCTCATGACAATTTTTTTTAATCCTGCATGTAAATCAGTTGACCAGATCAAAATAGGATGGCCTGTATTATTCTATAATTGCACCTAAATTTCAGTTTTCTGTTGGTAAGAGTGAATGACTGTAAATCAGCAATGCTGCAAAATGCATAACCGTTTGAACCGACATCTTTGTTTGCATAATTGTTGATAACTTGATTCATTTTTCTCTTAATGCTCTGAAGCTGGTTGTTATAAGATGCTAGCTGGTATTAAATGCAAGATGTAGACATGCAAAAGGA